TAGCCGCTCAACACATCAAATACAAGCTCTTAGGTAAACTTCTCACAAAAGTAGAAAAAATTCCACGCGCCGTCATCTTTGTTTTGAATTTTTATCTTTTGATCTCGAGCGTCACGCAAGAGTGACCTGTTCCCCGCGCGAAGAAACTGGTACGAGCCACCTTAACTCCGGTTTCTGTAGCATGAAGCGACTAAGAGTATTTCTACTCCCCCCTGGATGGGTTGCTAGTTCATCGCAGGGTTACCCCTCAGCATTAATTTTGCCAGTAGCCATTTATACACCTGGGTGAAGAGAGGCACTGTGAAAGTAAAGTGTATTGCCTGAGAACATAACACAACGTCCCCGGCCGGGGCTCGAACCCGGACCACTCGATCCGGAGTCGAGCGCACCGACCATGAGGCCACCGCGCCTCCACATAAAGCGATGTATGTGTGGGAAAAAAAAAAGAGAAAGTCAGGGAAATAAAAACTGATTAATTTACCTAAAACATTCAAATACAAAAATGTATCGAAGAGTTCTCGCACAAGATGTCATAATTAGTTTACGTTGACAAAGTCTTTGCAAATTCAAGCTCTGAAAAATCATCAAACAACAGAAAGTCTTTGGCAGTCCTTCTGAAGCTGCCTCAAAATATTTTTACAGTGTACAGTCCGGTAAAATTAGCGAGGTGAGGTGGTCTTGAACTATTGACCGTGAGTATATTTGATTACCGTGGTTCGTGTTCCCAGCCTAACCACAGTACAAATACATACCGTACGGAAAGTTTAGATGCATTCTCTAAAGGAAAGCGAGCACCACTAGGAAAGCGTGGAACACACGAAAATAAGACCATTTTTTTCGCAACGCATCCGTTCTGAAAGTCACAGCAATTTCCTTCTCAGCCACCATTGCCGTTAGCATACCTCTACCAGGTATCCGGTGCATATGGAGCCAGCATTTCAATAGCTAAAATGCCATGTTTAGACTTGAGAGTGCTACCGAGATATTGGAGTTAACTTACCTTGGTAAATAGTTTTCGTGCGCAAACGCCAACTGATACCCTGGTAAACACCGCTCAAGACAATAGAAAGTTAACTAAGGTAAAAGTTCGGTTTACCCTGCGAGCAGGCATGGTTAAGGTCGGTAACCAAGGTTTGGATGACAGATACATCCGCTTGCGGTCGCCATAGAATTTCACATCCTGCGGTGTCGGGATTGCGCCAGTCTCATTCGATCACGTTTTCGAGACCAGGTTTTCAGCAA